TACGTCTTCTCAATTCTCTGAGTCTCAGTCTCTTCCTCTATAAAATAGACAATAATTCCTTTCTTGACAGGTTTTAGAGAAGTTTAAATAGTACATATAAAATGCTTAGAATATTGCCTGGCATAGCAAATGTTAGTTAAATTTCACTTCCCTATAAGAATTTCTTCCTAAGCACAAGTCCTGAATTCACAGGGTAGTCATAGTTGAAAAGGTAGTTTTTTTTTTAAATAAGAAATAATGAACCAGATTGTCAGAGGAGTAAATGGCCTACTACTGTTTCAGTGTAGACATGAGTCTTAAGTTTTTGTGTAAAAATTGCCATGAGTGAAAGATGCTACAGTTGTGAAGGGAGGATTTTGGAGTTCTGTCAAGATACTTGCCATTCCGTGTAATTGAACCCAAGTTTCCCTAGTTTCATAAAGATATATAGTAAAAACTAGTTCTATTCTCTGGTATTCTTAATTAAAGATATTGAGGCTGGCTTTTCTGATTGAATTTTTTGATTCTGTCTTTTAATAAATGATAACATAGTGAGAATGAGTCCCTTTGGAAGGAGGTTTCAGAATTACGAGCAAAACATGCACAACAACAACAAGTTATTCGAAAGGTAAGCTTTTTTTCCCATTACTATAACCTGCATTTGTTTAATGATCCCGAAAAAACTCTGTTGAATAGTCAGTGAATGATCTTGGTTTCTTATACATTGGGTACACAGAAGTAAAATTATGAAATCAAACAAATTAAGCCAAGTGTTATATGTTCTTTTTAATAAAACTTTCTTATTAGCTAAATACAGTCATCCCATACTCCAGCTAATGTTTTGTTAGTTTTAGTAATATCTTTTGCCTGATATAACAACTTTCATATACTGCATTCTTAGGAGCATAATTAATACGCTACCAGTTTCTTCACATGTACTATAAAAGACAGACTTAACTGTGTGGAATTTTTTGTTGTTTTTGTTTTACTATTTTTTTATTCTAAAAGGCATAGATACCGTCTGAGAAGATAAATGACTAATATTTTCAAATCAGTTGCTCAAATTATGTGTTCAAAAAAGTAAGTTATTAGCATACACCATTGTTAGTCTGTGCAGTGAATGTTAAAAGTAGTTAACGTAGTACTCTAACATAAATCCTAGATTTTGGTATCTGAGCTGAAAATTACGGAGGGAACCAGAAATCTCTGCTGCATTGTGTCCTTGTGATTTAATCTTTTCATATCAGCTTTCATATGTTAATAAGAGGTGAAAGATAAACATAATTAAGGCAGCTATTTTTTGCTCATGAGTAAACTGGACTCTAAGTTTAAGCAACAGGTTTTTTGAGGGGAGGGAGGGTAGGAGAGCTTCATCTTGTTCCTACACAGAGGACTTTAGCTAAAAATAGGGTTATGACTGAAAGGATCTTGGTCTAGTGGAGCAGGCTTAGCATGTAGCAATGAATGTTAGTTGCAGCCTTTGCCCTATAGTCAAAATAAATATACTGATTTTTAAAAATTAGTATGCAAGTGAAGATTGAATGTAGGATTCAGTTTTAAATGTTTAGTCCAAGTACATGTATTTTCAAAACTTCCTTAGTTGATTCCAACTTGAAGCCCTATTTAAGAATACCTGATTTAAAATAATGTACCTTAGTCTGTACTTTATCTTTAAAAATCTGTTGATCTCTTTCAGAAAACAATGTTTTGGTTAAATATTAACTTATAATACTCTATAATTTGTTGGGTTTTTCTTTTTTCCTGAAAGCAAAGATAGCTGGCAAAATACTTATTTAGCATGTCAGTTTTTCATGAAAGCTAGCATTCTTTCTGCCCAAATTTATGTTTGAATCTGTGTTTTTAAGTGGGGTTAGGGAATTTACGTAATGCATGATGACAGCTGATAATTTTTGCTCTGTTCCTGAAATTGGTTTTTAACTCTGCCATTTACTCTTTGTCCTTGGATTAATTGGAATAATATATGGGAGGTATCTGTTACACAACTTGTCAGGTACGGAAGTTCAGTGATGTAGATGTTAAATGCCTCATCTTCTCCTTCAGGAAACAAACTCTACAACATGATGCTAGAGTGTCAAAAGAGAACTGAAATGTTACAGCAAATTTCAGGAGAAATGTTACCAGTGATTAATGTTCTTATAAATTCAACCAATTAATGTTTTTAGAATTTTCCCATAATGCTTTTCTGTAAATTAACAAAAATAATTGAAGTTGAACTGTTTCATAGATGTCTTCAAGGTTAAATGTTGTCTTTTTGTCAGTTGTGAACATTTTCTTTTGAATAAGCAATTTAGTGGCTATTACTTTTTCATAAACTGTGCTGTCTAACTCTTCAATTAAAATGTCTGTTATTTTTTTTCCATGGATAAATTCATATTGATTGCAAAGAATACCATTTAGTAGCCTCTTTTGGGGGAGAATGTATAATGTTAAAGCTATATAGTATGTATTTTCAAGTGACAATTGTCTGTTTTAATCATGTAATTACATTTCACAAAGCTTGTACAAGGAATTCTTCTGCAAAGCGTATAGTCATCAGTCACAGCCTTTTTTATTAACAGCCTTTCAGTGATACACAGCTTTTCATGTTTTACCATGTGGCCCTCCCTTTTTAAGCTCTTTTAGGTAGTTATCAGTATAATTTCAAGGCATACCCTAAATCAGTGGTTCTCACATTCACATCAGTATCACCTGGAGGGCTTGTTAAACACACACATAGCTGGATCTCATCCTCAGAATTTCACATTCAGCAAGTCTGGAGCAGGGCTGAGAATCTGCATATCTAAAAGTCTCCTAGGCCAGTGCTGCTGGTCCATGGACCTTACTTTAAGAAACACTGTCATAGAATATGAAGGATTGTTTATATGTCTTGATCTGTTTAATACTTTTTCTTCTAAATTTAATCAGATTTTGAAGATTAAACCAGCTTCTCTTATTGTCAGCAGGAAGCTTTGACAGGTGTTTAATGTTTCAAGAATAGTTTTTCTAGAATTAGACAATAAATTTTTTCTAACTTGAAAATATTATGATCTATTCTGTGAGAGTTGGCAATTTCTTTTGCCTCTAATTGTATGACCTGGTATAAGAAAAATGTCTTGTCAAACATCAGTCTTCTTTTTTGCATCATAATCATCTTGAAAGAATTTTAAGTAAAAATTTGAGATCTGTATCCAGACATGCTTGGTACTTATCACAAGACAAATAATTGAACTGAATATTGGATAGATAAATAGATGGTTAGGTGGGTGGGAAGATAGATAGATACATGGGTAGATGGATGTCCTACGCATCTCTATATCTTAGGTAGCTGCAGCTTTATCCAGGTTATTCTTCTGCCTGGAAGCTGGTATGTTTCTTTACATATCATTGTAAGATGCATTCAAATTTAAAATGTTAATATGTAAGAATTATGTGACTTAGAATAGAGGACATATAGTACCTGAATTAATTTATAAGACTTGTAGTGTGGACTGAAGAATTAAGAATCTATGATGGAACATTTTTTGTTTATATTTTCCTTTTAGATTGTCCAGTTTATTGTTACATTGGTTCAGAATAACCAACTTGTGAGTTTAAAACGTAAAAGGTAAGTTTTTATAACACATTCTAACTTACCAGTAGACAACCAAACATGTTAGTGTTTAACTATGAATGGCCTACATCTGCTGAGTGTATGCATGTTGTCCCAGATGAACAGTCCTCCCTTGTTAAATTATACTCTCAACATTTCAAGAGTGGTGTTGTTTCCCACTACTGTCATCTTGCTGTTTTTGAGAGATAAGGATAGCCTAAATGGTCACTTTACGTGCATACAGTTAGTAAAGAATCCATTTTTCATTCACATTAGCAAATTATTGTAGTGTTACAAGGACTCATGAGGGAAATTCTTAAAAAGAGACTACATGCTGGAAAAACAAATGAAAATTTTTTATTTGATATCTCTTGTGTTTAATCACTCACAAGGGTCTTTAAAAACCTGTATATTGACCAAGGGTTGTGATACCCGTAAATGTCAATAGCTGCCTTTTTCTCAACTAAAACATACGAGGGATAGTGGACAAAGGAACAGGTAGAAGGAGAAGATTATCTTGTAAGGCTAAGGATTGAGGAAACCTCCATTATACTCACAGCTTATGCTGTGGAATTAACTCTGCTTCCACTGATTCTTTATGCTATTACCTATTTGTTTCTTGCTATGTAAGTACCATACAGTTACATAGTTCGGTCAGCAATGAGTAATTTATTATAACAAAGATAATACAGGAGAATGGAGAAGTGGAAGTCCTAGACACACTCATTCCCCAATTTGTATTTCTAAAAGGTAATCATTTTTAAGTTTCTTGTATATCCTTACTGAAATTTTTATTCATTATTAAAGTGAGTGTGTTTGTGTTTGGGTAAATTATTAAAAGCAGTTTACATTCCTTATTTGTTTGCTTCACTGAACTTAAAAATGTCTTCTGATTTTCAGGCCTCTACTTCTAAACACTAATGGAGCCCAAAAGAAGAATCTGTTTCAGCACATAGTGAAAGAACCAGCTGATAATCACCATCATAAAGTAATTTTTAAAATTCTATTTTAAGTTTATTACCTCAAACTAAATTTTATTACAGTAATAGTTCATGCATTTTAAAAAGTTCACTGAAAAATCTAATCCAGCTTTTTAAGATTGTAACTTTTATTTACTTTAGATTATTTTAAGACATAAGCTGTTACAAATACAGTTTTCTTAATTGCCTGTTCCTAAGTTCAATTTTTTGAAACCTCTACAGTCTCCCCTCTCACCCAGAGATAAATTACTGTCTTGAATTAGTATTTATCATTCCCATAGCCATTTTATATGTGTGAATCCATGAACAATATTTGGTATTATTTTGCATATATCTAAACTTCATATAAATGATAGCATTTTGTACATATCATTTTGCAATGTGGCTTTTTTCACTTGGTCTTGCTTTTGAGATTTATTAAACATGCAGATTTAGTTCATCTTAACTACTATATGAGATTAATTGAATATTATGATAATGTAATTATGCACATGCCAATTGATTTTTTTTCCCAACTTTTATTATAAATTTGTATAGATTAGACTCTCTTTTACTATAGCAATTTCAAAAAATATTTTTGTTTACCATCACTGTTTCAGAAGCTCTCTGGATAACTTGTCAGACCTACACCCAGTGGCAAGTTAGTTGAGTCCAGACTTCTTTTAATATCTGACTATCATTGTTACTTTCAAATCTTAGAATCCTAAGTACTGCTTTATATTTATTATTAAAGTACTGAGATTTTTGTTCTCAGGCAAATCAGAGTTAACCTAACATCTGGTTCCTCTTCCCACTGTTTTTAATTAATCAAGCTTACCTGTTATTAGGATTGAAGACTGCTATAAATGGATGAAGATTTCTTAATTTAACTTGATTTACTTCTTTTGCCTGTAATTACCTAGTGTTGAAATTTATAGAATTTTGCATTATAATAATAACTTCAATATGCTGTAGAGAATATTTATATTTATGTACCTGTGGTCTGAATAAATCTGCAGTTGAATTCTTTAAAAAAGTCATTGCTTGAAAAGCCAAACTGAGTTATTTTCCTCTTATTAATGAAGCCATTTAATGACTAAGAATAAATCATGCGTCTAACAGAGTAGCTTGAGATAAAATAATCCCCATCAGCCTATTGGGGTTATGCTTGAGGTTTCTGATGAAGTCCCAAGACTTTTTTACTCTTTGGGTATGAAAAATACCTTAAAATTTGAAGATCTTTTCATAGCACTATTCCGAGGCATGCCATCTTTAAGGTCCTTTAAAGTTAAAAAAAAAAAATAGGTAGAATGCAGATAATATACTTCATACATCTGTGAACTGGTACTTCTAATACGAGTTTAGTGTGTAAGTCCCATAATGTCAGGGAACATATCTGTTTTGTTTACATTGTATCTCTGACATGTAGTCAAAGAGCAGGTGTCCAGTTAGCATTTTTAAATGGTATGTTGTTTGGTAGTCAAAATAATTTCAGTTCTCTGATATATCTTCTATCTGATTTTTTAGGTTCCACACAGTAGGACTGAAGGTTTAAAGCCAAGGGAGCGGATTTCAGATGATATCATTATTTATGATGTTACTGATGATAATGCAGATGAAGAAAATATCCCAGTTATCCCAGAAGCTAATGAGGATGTTATGTCTGATCCCTCCAAGTAAGGAGATTATAAAATAAAATTTATGAAAATATTAATTACTTTTCTTATCAAAGATCTAAATTTAAAACTACTTTAAAACTAAATTGAAAACTACTATATCTAACTCATTTTAATTATTGAACTGAAAAATTAAGCCAAATTATTCAACCAAATATCCCTCTCCCTCTAGCAAAAAGGCTCCCAATCTAAAAGTAATGAGAGTTAATTCTTATTTTTAAAGTTTGATTCTCTGTGATCTTTTATCTTATGAAGTATCAATATTTGTCATTAAGCTATACACACAAGAAAACTAATCCTTTTGATAGGTGGTTTGGAGAGTTTCCATGGAGAATGGATGGATAGAATGAATTTATTGGTCTGAAAATGTAATTGGTTTTTTCTCATATTGCTGATCTAGCTGTAGCCAATACCCTGATATTGTCATTGTTGAAGATGACAATGAAGATGAATATGCACCTGTCATTCAGAGTGGAGATCAGAGTGAACCAGCCAGAGAATCACTAAGTTCAGGCAGTGATGGCACTAGCCCTCTCATGTCTAGTGCTGTCCAGCTAAATGGCTCATCTAGTCTGACCACAGAAGATCCTGTTACCATGATGGATTCCATTTTAAATGATAACATCAATCTTTTGGGAAAGTGAGTGCTCATCTAAATGTTGTCTAAATTTATTTGCTTTCTTTGTTTACTTCACATGTTCTATTTCTCTTTGAGTGATTTTCCTCTCAGATTATAAATGTGTGTAGTCAACCTTTTTCTGTTTTGGTCAGGGCTGAGCTCTGCAAATGATATTTTGAAAAAGATTTAATTATCCCCAGAGCAGTCTTGGGATTTTCTTGTCAATTCCTCAGATCTCTTTAATGAAATACCTGTTTTTGAATGTCCACAAAATGTGTGATTGTGTGTATTTGTGTTTTTGCAAGACTATGGAATAACACAATGTCTATTAAGGAATTTACAGCATAAGAAAACTAGAAATCAGTAGCAGTAACTAGTAATAAGAGGTTAAACATTTTATAATTTATAGTATAGAGGAAAAAATAAATCAGATTGTATTACTGCAGAACCTTTTTTTCTGTAAATACTGAAGTTTTGTGTAAAGGCTCTGGGTTCTCTGATAACCAAATTCTTTGAAATTCTGAATACTGAATAGGATCTTAAGATTAAGAACTGGTAAGGATTCAGCAGTTGCTAGGAATATTTTGCCTAGCTAGATTGCAGTGTGATTTTAAACATAAAACCAAAGAGACCTAGTATTTGATTTTCTTTTAATCTTTTTTCCTTAGGGTTGAGCTGTTGGATTATCTTGACAGTATTGATTGCAGTTTAGAGGACTTTCAAGCCATGCTGTCAGGAAGACAGTTTAGCATAGACCCAGATCTCCTGGTTGATGTAGGTACTTTGAATATTCTTTGCTGTACTGGCAGATGTGTATTTATGTGTATTATTTATAAATCAATGCATCATTTTCTTGAATTCTACACTGTTTTTGCACTTTCTTTTTTTTAAATGAATGGTTTTGTTTATCAGAGAGAATGAACAGATGGGTTCAGGACAGTGAAGGAGGGTGATCACTGTTCGTCTCTGAGTAGAAGTTCAGTTAATCCCCTTGTAACAACATATCATGTCTATTCAACAGTGCTGTTAAATCCAGGTCTTGTCTGGACTTGTTGCTGTGTTATGTTTTGCTCTAGAATAAATTGTCACTGACTAGCAATCGGTGGAAATTAGTAGAAATGCTTATCCAGGAAACAGCATGGAGATACTTCTTAATCCTTTGAGAATTAATGTTTTTCAATCAAATGTTACTATATTTGCTATATTTAAAAAATTTTCGTGTCCTGAGTCCTAAGGTTCCCCTGCTCCAGTCCTCACTACCACCTGTATGAACTTGATTCCAATGTTGTCTCGAGTTTGAATCTCTGTCTATCATATTTGGCACTAACTGCCTTCCTCGCTCTCTTTTCTCTTGTTCCTATGACTCCTGTCTCCCTTATCTAGAGCTTCCTTGTGTGGCCTGGTCTCATCCAGATGAATCTTGTTCTTTTCTCTATTTCCATTTTCTGTTCTGAACATGTTCCAGGTTTTTTGTTCCTTTTTTTTTTCTTTGCATTTCTTACCTTAAAATGCAACTCCTCTCATATTAAAAGATGCTACAGTTTGTCAGTGTCATATGACTATCATTTTTCCTAAATCATTAGTGCCTCCCAGGATAGATATCACCTTCTTTGAAGATTTCCTTTCCATGTTACCCTCTTAAGTGAATTCAACGTCTGTGTTAATTACCTACTTTGACTTGAACAGTAACTTGACAGCCCTTCTTGATTCTATCAGTCTTTGTCCCCAGTCTGAATCCAGAGACTTTTTAGAATATCTGTCCCTTAGATCATTAAGAAGGAAGTCAGATCCTATAATTACGACTCTACAAATCCTCACAATCATCAACTAGGTCGTTTTAATTTAAATTTAGAACTGTTACGTTCGTTTATCTTCAGGATTTTATCCAGCCAGTTCCTTATTCCCCATTCACAGAGAGTAATTCACCATGCCCTGGTCCTCTCATAAGCTGTGGAATCTCATATCCTTTCTTCTTAGAGGAAGTACTTCCTCTTTAAAGCCAATTTGTACACCTGCCCTCTGCCTCTTTGTTTTTCTATCTCTATCCTTGATCTTTCCCAACTGCCTTCAGTAGGTACAGATCATCTCCATTTTATAAAACATTTTGATGTGTTGCCCTGCTCAGTTACCATTCTGCTTCTCTAATCCTTTTACTACAGAACTTTAGAAATGAGTAGTGTATTTGTTACTTCTTTTTCACTCTGTATTTCTTTTGAAATCCTGGATTGTCTTATTTACTTACTCAAAGCCTGTGCTGTCTTGATTTATCTGTTGTAAGTAGGCTGCAACTTTTTTTTTTTTCCTCCCAAAATTAGACCAGTGGGCTAGTGGAAGGTTTGTTTTGAATCAGGCAGATTTGGGTTCCAGTTTTGGCTCATGCTCTTACTAGCTATGTTTTCAACCATGGGAAAGTGAACCTGTCTTGCTCAATATCCCCATCTATTAAGTGTGGCTAATGCCTAATGTGAAGGGCTTTTGCAAGGATTAGAAGTAATTAACACTATTATTATTTAACAGTATTGATTTTCTACAACAGAACTTTTTCTGTTGATTTTAAAGGTACTGGACCTCTTTATTCTTCCTGTCTCCTTAATCATTCTGTTTCCTCTAAGAGCTTTTCTTTTCCTTGCTGTCTTCTACTTGTGGATATTCCCTAAGGTACCCAGTCTTTTATCCTATTTTTTCCTACCTCTTTTCTTTTTTCTGTCCCTCCCTGGAGGAATTTGGTTTATAGGATTGCTCTCAAATGTATATCTTCAGCTCTTAATATTTTTTACGGTAAACTTTTCTTGAATTCTAATTCCATGCCTTTGAGATCATCAGATTTTGTCTTAAATTATTTGTGTTTAACACAGACTTTTGTTTATTCTCTAAACTAGCTATCTTTTTAGCTTTATTTTCTGTAGTAGTATCATATTTCTCTTCACTCACACAAGTTAGTAATCACAGTCATCTTGATTTCTTTATCTCATCATTCACCTAGTACTGTGTATTTTCCAAAACAGCATTCACAAACCATCCCTACTTTGTTTCCACTGTTGCCTCTGTCATCTGAGACCTTCGTTGTTTCATCCTTGAATTATGCTGTATTGTCATAAATAAAAATCTTGTTTTCTGAGATGGCAAAGATGGTAAGGACGTGTGTGAGTAATAAGTGTGCTGAAGAGGTCATGGATTTCTTGCTGCAGAGTTCAGTACTGAGTGACCCAGTGTGGAATCAGCAGGAAGGACCTGGCCTTAGAAATCAGCCATCTGTGTCACTTCCTCCTCCATATATGATTTACTTTTTCCTGCTTCACAGTGTGTCTGCTGGGAATACATGAAGGTATCCGTGAGTTAGTGGGTGGGGGAAATAGGGCAGAGGAGTGAGGAGTTTACAACTGCTGGTCCTCCTCAAATGCCACTCTCAGTAGGGATAAAATCTGGTTAGGCCTTTGGGGTGATGACAGGCTGAACTGGTAGAGATTGGCAATGATGTATATATAGTTCTGTATTCTTAAGGAGCTGAGTCTCTTCCTCTTCATGGATAGTAGGTGGTATGAAAGGAGGAAAAGTTAAGGAAAGAAAAGGAAGAGCTAGGGGTGTTTTTAGGGCTACCATGAATGTGGAACTTTAAGGAGAGGAATCAGTGTCTAGAGAGGGTAGAGGAGCCTCTCTGCATTTCTTTCTACCCTGTGAACTGTTTGGTGTGCTCATTCTCTTAAAATGCTTTAAAATCAGTAAATTTCATTGCTCAGGCCATTCTCAAGTCTCTTATTTCTGGCAGAATGTGGTCCTGTCCAGTGATTGGCCTTGCCTTACTTTCTGAATCTTATGTATACCACTTACTATTCAACTCAGAACTTTTCTGTAATCATCTTATTTCTAGAACTTGCCCCAAAACCATTCCTTCTTCTCTGTTGTTTCTAAAGCTATAGCAATGTACTTTCCCCTTCATCCTCTCCTTTCTAAGTCCTAACCATTTTCCAGGAACTGATACATGGCACATAGCTTTATCAAGACTTTTTGTTTC